AGTGCGCTTCCTCTCCTCCACCTTCATGATGGCTTCATCCGACAATGCAGCATCCAAGCCTTGATGAACCAGCAACGCATTCATCTTTACTCGCCAAAGACTGAAATCATCTAAGCCTGAGAACTTCTCGATTTCCATCTTAGCCATCGCCATTTTTCTCAAACTCAACCAAAGCTCTTGATACCACTTGTTACGTAAGAATCAGAAACGAAAGAAGAAAAACTATTATATGAATTTTATTGTATGTATTATTATTCAAAATTAGTTACAGAGCTGAATATATATAAGACCAATTACAACAGGGAGTGATTCTCAAAGAAGACCTCTTATCAATTTCATGGATGTCACTAAGAGTTATTGCAAAAATGTTTCATGTTGAAAAACCATAAAAAATGAATAAATACAAGGGACAAAATCGACGGATCTGGCACAGTAAAGGCTAAGATCCACAAAAACAAAAATGCGCATGGATTAATTTTCTTTAAAGTAAAAAGTAACCTGCATTATAAGCTTAGTTTAAGAGCATTGCATTACATGCATTTGGCATTAGGTATGTACAAAGGTATATGTTTATTTAAAAAAAAAATTTGAAAATTAGACCAGAACGATAGTTCTCAAATCCAAGACAGTCTTGCCAGCTACAATGGTCACCTTGGAATAGTCATTACCACCAGAATGGGCATTGTAGAACGTCTGCTTCCAATTCTGAAATGATCGTGTTGGTCTCACTAGAAAATCTATAAATAGAGGCTTGGGTCCTCATTCCAATTCACTCCAGCTTGAATCCTTTTTATACTTTCTTGCTTTCTCTACTTTCTTAAGAGTGTTTGCCATCATGGATCACGATGAATTCTCTAGCTAAGGCGCTTGCAAGCGCTAAAGAGCTCAACAACCAAGCTAGGCCACTTTGACATAGGTGGTCCGAAGAAAGATGGAAGCACTTGAGGCTTTTATCTTTCACCCGTCTAGGGTCTTGGACCATGAGATTCTAGAAGAAACACTTGAGGCTAGTTGAGGGGAGATCTGCAAAGCTGATGGTTTCCTTTTGGATGTGAGGGAGTACCATTCGATGTCCATTAACGAGTTCAACATGCACGTCGACTTTGTCATGAAGGAAAAGGTCAACACTATAGAGTATCAGTCTACTCTATGTGAGAAGTCGGATAATCTAAAGGAGGAGACCATGTGGGTCAAGCCAACAGGACAAGCTTACATGCCTAGGATAGCGAATGATTTAAAGCTAAAGGATCCAAAACTACAAGTCATTAATCGACTCATCTCAGGATCTATACACAGACATCATGAGAGCATTGGCTCCGTGTCCCAAAAGGATCTATTTCCTTTTTATTGCATGCATATGGGATGGAGGTGCAACCTTGGGGCTTTCTTCCTTAAGCACGTTAGAGGATGTTGGTGGGTACCTCCCTAAGCCCATTAATGTCTCCTACTTGCCTAGCATGAGGGTGATCTAGAGGGTAGGGAATGGTTATATTTTAATGCCTCATTCTCTATACCTCATGATGGATGACTTTGACCTTTCCGGTGAGCTATAACAATAGGAAGACACTTAGGACCTCTGGCATGAAGTTAGCGAAAATACACACAGAAAGGAGGGTTGAATGTGTGTGTGTTCGAAGGAAGATTTTTCAAAATCGTTTTGTAAAGATACTCCTTTTTCTTTTAATAAAAAGAGTATTCAAGCACTGTTGAAAACTTGTGCAGGATTGTCTGACTAGAAAGATTTTTGCGTCCAATAAAACTGATCGTCTGCTTCAAGAAACAAGTTGAGTAAATATGTTTTCCTTCTGAAAGGATTTATCGTCCAAAAAAAATTGTTTCTTCAAAAATAGTGGACAAGTATGTTTTCTTCTAACAGTTTGTTGAAACGAAAGTAGATGAAAGATGAAGTTTTTTAAACAAGTAGTGTTTGAAAAATAGAAAAAGGTATGCACAGATTTTTATACTGGTTCACTCAAACTGAGCTATGTCCAGTCTCCTTCAACTGAAGGGTTCCACTAATCACAGAGGATTACAAGTATTCTCAACCACTTCGTGCTCGTCAAGCTCACTTGTCAATGCTAGTATTCTCAACCAGTTCTGGTTCTCCAAGTATTCTTGACCATTTCTGGCAGCTAGCTTCACTCACTAGCGGTAGTATTCTCAAACCACTTTTGGTTCTCAAGTATTCTTTCAACCAGCCTCTTTAGGCTTTACAACAAATGAAGGTGTTGAGTGTGTTTGCAACTCTCACAGAGAGGATAGGATAGTTTCTACACTCACTAAGGTGCGTAACCTTAGTTTTACAGGAATAAGTGTCTAAGTGTTTTGTTTACTCTCGTAGAGAAGATAGACTATTAGCAACACTGACTAAGATAAGCTATCTTAGTTTTTACACAGATATACAGGAAATGCTTTGAGAAGAAATGTAGCTTATGCTTTTTTGCTTTCTTTTTCTTATTGTATGTTTTCTCTACTTCTCCGTTCTCTACTTCTTCTTCTTCTTTGCCTTGATACTTATAGCCTGTTGATAAATCTGCCCGTTATTTTGAATTCAATTTTTCTCGTTGGAGCGGAGCTTCATGTCGTTGCAGATGGAGGCTTGTTCATGGCTATGTAAATCTTTTCATTTAATGCATTTGATCTTGCATTAAATGTTTGCTTGTATACGTGAAGTCCTTCTATGTAGTTGATTATTTCAATGTCTGACTTCAATCATGATCTAGGCATATTTGTACTTTTCTCATCAATTTAGCTGCTGAGGTGCTGTCTTTTTCTGAAAAGTAGGTGTTCTTTTTCTGACACACGCAACTTTGACTTGTGAATCCACGCTTGCCTATTTTTCTTCTTTCTGTATTCAGGTTTGATGTCCTTTTCTATTTCTTGTATGATTTCACTCAATATGATTAGTGGACTTCAGACATGTTTTATTATTTTTTGACTGCATCTGGATACACATTTTAGTTCTAATTCTTCGTCTAGTCTTGACTACCCTTTACGTCTGGTTATGAGAGTGATGACTTCGTCTGCTTGTTTGTTAGGCTTTATCTGATGGTTTTGCAACTCCATGTTGATGTTTGGCCAACTTTTGTCCCGTTCTTGACTTAGTCTCATATGATGCCTATTTTTGTCTTACATCTAATCCCTCAGGCTTCAACTGATAGGTTCATCTTATCTTGTATTTGATTTAGGCCTGGGTCTACCTTAGTCTTGATACTAGCTTTGCTATCGTCTAATGTCTTGTTCAATTCGATTATGCTTGATCATACTTTGTCCTTCATTTTTGCCTAAACTTATTGTTATCCATTTGAAACACTAATGCACATGTTAAGAATAACAATCTGTATTATATTTGTCATATTCAAAACCACGGTGGGAACTGCGAATGCGCTTCGTCTGACTTAACATGGCAATGCTTGGAGTAGATGCACATGGCCAACCAAATGTGCTTCTAAAGGATTGAAGACACTCAAGCAAAGTTTAACACGCAATTTGGTGCGTTCACCCAACATGTGAACAACCAACTTAAGAGGTGTGTAGACACCTAATTTCGTCCAGGACATGGAAACAAGGAAATGGGGCTTTAGTATAGGAAAAAGAATTCACAAAGGCCCGAGTACGACATCATAATGGACCAGGAAGACATCAAAAGGCCTAAAAACCTAAAAAGATTAATTAGGAGCCTGAAACAAGGTGTTCCCAATCTGGAATAGGTCGTTCCAAACTTCTAAAATGGCCTAGAAACCCTAGCTCAAAATGGGGCATCCCCAATTCAGAATGGGCCGATTTAACCCAAGTTGTTATGAGTTAATTTCAAATCTAGAATGAGTCGTTCCAATCTCGAAATAGGGCATTCTAGATTCAAAAATTACTCATGACAAACTAATCCAGAACGGCTCATTTTGGTGATTGGAACGGCTCATTCTGGTAAAGTCTGACGTGTGTATATATATATATATATATATATATATATATGAGCCTTGTGTATAGTGCTCGGGACCAAAAAATTGCTTATTAGAGTCCTATATAGTTTAGGAACTTCTCTTTCTCCCCCCTCCTTGTATTTCTTGAGATTTGTAAGGTAAACTGTAGTGTGTAAGGCGGCCAAAAAGTGCATGAAGTCTATCATATTGGAAGCACATTCTATAAAATCTCTTTCAAGAGGTATTTCTATTAAATTCTTTCTCCATTATCTACTACTTTTATCATAAAATTGCCATAAATAAAAGTAACCAAGTAGACGTCTTTGATCAATTGTGTAATTTTAATTTAAGCATGTAAATAATCATCAATAAAATGAGACTAAATATTTGAACTTTTATTCTCCATCGTGTTAATTTCATCATAGGGTACCGATATAGGGCGTTGTAGGGTGCCTAATACTTTCCCTACTCGTAATCAATCTTTGAACCCAATTCTGGCTATGAGAGTCATTTTGGCAATTTAAAAAATCTTTTCCTTTTTTGATGTTTTGGGTAAAATATTGGTGGCAACTCCTTTGAACTTTTTTCTAAAATCATTAATTAGGGATTAGTTTGGTCTACACGTAATCGACCCCCGAAACCAACTTTGACTATGAGGGCCATTTGGGTAATTTTAAAAATCTTTTCTTTTTATGATGTTTTGAGTAAAATATCGGTGGCGACTACTTCGAACTTATTCGTAAAACTATTGATTAAGGATTAGTTTGGTATCCGAACATCCCTTAATCAATGAGATTTTCAAAATGGAATTCCAAACCATTTGTGAACAAGATAAGAATTTTTCAGGTTTTGAAAAGGTGTAGTGTCGACAAGTTGAGATGTTTGGGTGAATGTAGCAATATTTTCCCACCCCACTAGGACCTCCTCATTCGACCGATGATTAGGCTTTTCTTTTGTCTTTTACTATTTTTTTGGTTAAAATTTCCTTTTGTAATTTTAAGTTTATGATTTCCTTTTGCATTCTTTTCTTTATTTTTAGGGAAATACAAAAAAAGAAAAAAAAATAGATAATAAAGGAAAAAAGGCAAAAAATAGCAAATAAAAGGCTATATCTTTAAAAGAATAAAAAGCCAAAGCTAAAAGAGAAAAAGGTTTAGAAACTTTTAGTTAAGAAGATGTTCAAAGAGGAACAACCAAAAGGCTACAGGATATTCAAAGATCCAAAAAGCTAAGTCACTACATCTTCCTTAAGAGAAGAAGGCTAAAGAGCTAACAAAAAGGCTAGAAGACTAACAAATAACTAAAATCTAACACATAATGGCTAAGATTGCCAATATCCCCAACAAAGTTTAGATTAAACATGAAGAAGCTTTGATAAACAATAATCAGTTTTGAACCCCCAAGGGTACAAGTTGTACAGATTAAGCCTGGAAATGCTTTGGTGAAATAATAATCAATTAAAGAACACAACAAAGTTCGCATCATCCTACTGAAGAGGATAATCATCCACCCACAACTTAAAAGAGCAATTTCTCACAGAAACAATGTCTGTAGATGAACACACTCACTTAAGTTGAAGAAGCAACAAGCTGAACAAACCATAGGCCTAGAAAGGCCGACACAAAAATACTCATAAGCTTGGAGAGGCCGACATAGAATACTCATAGGCTTGGAGAGGCTGACATAAGAATACTCATAAGCTTAGAGAGGTCAACACAAAAATACTCATAGGCCTAGAGAGATCGGTACAAAAATACTCATAGGCTTAAAGAGGTCGACACAAGAATACTCAAAGGCTTGGAGAGGCCGACACAAGAATACTCATAGGCCTAGAGAGGCCAGCACAAAAATATTCATAGGCTTGGAGAGGCCAACATAGAAATACTCAAAGGCCTAGAGAAGCTGGCACAAGAATACTCATAGGCCTGGAGAGGCTGGCACATAAATACTCATAGGCCTAAAGAGGCCAACATAGAAATACTCAGAGACTTGGAGAGGTCGACAGAAATACTCATAGGCCTAGAGAGGCCAACATAGAAATACTCATAGACTTGGAGAGGTTGGCACAAAAATACTTATAGGCTTGGAGAGGCTGACACAGAAATACTCATAGGCCTGGAGAGGCTAGCTCAAGAATACTGATAGGCTTGGAGAGGCCAACACATGAATACTCATAGGCCTAGAGAGGCCGACATAGAAATACTTATACTCACCCCCTACAAAGCCTGAAAGGCTCTTACAAAGATGAACTCAACCAATGAGTTTGGAGAAGCACGATATAGATGAACTCATCATCCCGAGTGATCTTGCAGAAGCTCGATAAAGATGAACTCATCAGCCTGGAGAGGTCGTTAAGAGTACTCAACCACCAAAGACCTACCAAGGTTAGCCGTTAGCTATTTGAAAAAATTGGACAAAACCATCTACGTCTTTATTTGCCTTTGAGAATACAAGCACAAAAACTTTATTCTTAGAAGAAAAAGTAAAGAGGGGCAGTTGTAGATACCAATTTTTTTCCGGGGCACAAAAAATAAAGACTTGGAAGCTCCTAAGCTACAAAGGAGTGACCATAGAAGACTCCGAGGAAGCTCCAAAAATGTCCAAGATGAATAAAGAAGAGGTCATCTCATACCGTAGACTAGATTTTCCTAATTCGACCATTGAGATAGAATAAAAATATCTCAGGAGGCTATCATCCAAAATTTAGCCCGATCTAAGGGTTTAATTTGTGCATGACAATCTTATTTTGAACAATGTTTTTTCTCTCATGGTACCTATCATGACAAACTGAATTTGAACGATCCCATCGTTGAATTTAAAGACCAATGTCTTAAAAAGATACCATCAAAAAACAAAACGATCCAACGGCTAACGAGTTCTCTAGAGACCCATACAACACCTCAAAAATTTGTTTTTTTCTATGGATTTAGTGCCACATCTAAAAAAGTCTCAAATGGCTAAGTCCCACATCTAACAATTCTCGAAGGATTTTTCCTCCCAGATGGTTACATAAGTAACCCCTTGGCAAGGGGAATACTACACTTCTCTCCCTCTCTAAATCCTTTTGGACTAATTCAAAATAGTGTTATGAAAATTTTCGGTTAATAAATCCTTTAGCCTTTGCAAGGATTTCAAGAGTTTTTCTAGTTAAAAGTTTTCTTGAGTGTTTGAGAGGAATTGTTGTAGAGCATCGTAGGAATGCTAAACTCTTATTTATTGCTTTCTTTACTACTTTTGAATACATGTTTATAATTGTTTGCATAATGTAATTGTTTAATTGCTTTTATTTGAATAAATAGGGTTAAAAATGTAAATTAAAATATTATTTTGTTAATAAATTTGTCATAGGGTACTAATTTTAGGCGTTTTAGGATGCCTAACACCTTCCTTACACGTAATCGACCCATGAATCCAACTCTGGCTATGCAAGCCTAAGTTGAATTTTTGAAAACCTTTTCTTTTTCTAATGTTTTGAGTAAAATATCAATGGTGACTACATGAACCTGAAACACTTTTTCGTAAACCATCGATGGAGGTTTAGTCTAGTTACTAGACATTCCAAAGCAGGTGAGACTTTTAGAGTCTAACCATCAATTCACGTAGAACATTCCCTGAAAAGAAACATGATAAGTCACCATGTATGTTCTTTATGGGATCTGGTCGTGACAAATTGTAACACCCTAGTTTTCAATAAAGTTATTATTATTATGACCACATGAGTTGATTGAAAAAGAGAGAGTTACTTCCTGAAACAACCGTTCCTTACCATATTTTGGGAACGTTTCGAAAATAATAATGATGAAAATTAATTTCTTATAATATTTATGTATTTACTATTATTTTATTTTATTTTTAATATCTACTTATTGTATATTTTTTCTCGTAATTTATTTTCTTTCATTGTAGTGCAATTATCATTTTTAATAATAATTTAAATTTGGTTCATAAATGATTAGAAAAAAAATTCTAAAAGTTAAATTTCTTAAAGTTTCTTACTATTGGAGTAAATTTGTGTTTGAGTTGCTTAATGCTGACATGGCATGCTAGAGACCATTTTTTTCATTTTTCAATGCATGAAACAACTCAAATGAGTTGCTTCCATTGGAGATGCCTTGTAAAATAAAATAAGTTTAACTTAAAAGAAAGACTTATTTAAGTTGTTGTTTCTTTCTCATGTCAGTATTTTACGAAAAAATTTATACAAATAGAATCAGATATAACATGCACTATTAGCATAAAAGTTTTTACATTTACAAAATCAATCAAAATTTATTTTTGAAATTACTCTTAAGATAATTAATTTTTAAATTAAATTACATTACCGTGCTTATATTATTTCCAAAAGTCAGTTTCTTCTTTATTTATTATCAGTTCAAGTAATTTGGCTACGGGGTAGTCTCATAAAACCCACAATGATTATACCCTAAATACAAAAGAGAAAAAATCACAAGAATTTGTGTTGGATTATAAGTTGATTGATATTAATGAAATATGCAGGTATTTGAAGAGGTGTTCCGGCTACTAAAGCCAGGAGGAGTGTTCATAGTGAGTTTTAGCAACAGAATGTTTTATGAGAAAGCCATAAGTGCATGGAGGGAAGGGAGTGCTTATAGTAGGGTACAACTTGTGGTTCAGTATTTCCAATCCGTGGAAGGTTTCACAGAGGCAGAGGTAGTTCGAAATCTGCCTAATGATGAAAATTAATTTCTTATAATATTTATGTATTTACTATTATTTTATTTTATTTTTAATATCTACTTATTGTATATTTTTTCTCGTAATTTATTTTCTTTCATTGTAGTGCAATTATCATTTTTAATAATAATTTAAATTTGGTTCATAAATGATTAGAAAAAAAATTCTAAAAGTTAAATTTCTTAAAGTTTCTTACTATTGGAGTAAATTTGTGTTTGAGTTGCTTAATGCTGACATGGCATGCTAGAGACCATTTTTTTCATTTTTCAATGCATGAAACAACTCAAATGAGTTGCTTCCATTGGAGATGCCTTGTAAAATAAAATAAGTTTAACTTAAAAGAAAGACTTATTTAAGTTGTTGTTTCTTTCTCATGTCAGTATTTTACGAAAAAATTTATACAAATAGAATCAGATATAACATGCACTATTAGCATAAAAGTTTTTACATTTACAAAATCAATCAAAATTTATTTTTGAAATTACTCTTAAGATAATTAATTTTTAAATTAAATTACATTACCGTGCTTATATTATTTCCAAAAGTCAGTTTCTTCTTTATTTATTATCAGTTCAAGTAATTTGGCTACGGGGTAGTCTCATAAAACCCACAATGATTATACCCTAAATACAAAAGAGAAAAAATCACAAGAATTTGTGTTGGATTATAAGTTGATTGATATTAATGAAATATGCAGGTATTTGAAGAGGTGTTCCGGCTACTAAAGCCAGGAGGAGTGTTCATAGTGAGTTTTAGCAACAGAATGTTTTATGAGAAAGCCATAAGTGCATGGAGGGAAGGGAGTGCTTATAGTAGGGTACAACTTGTGGTTCAGTATTTCCAATCCGTGGAAGGTTTCACAGAGGCAGAGGTCAAATCCTTTTATTAAACCTTTTTTTAGTTTTTTTTTAAATGTTTCATATTGACATGTTTAAGCTTTTTGTGCCAAATTTATCTTTCATCTTCTTTACAAACTAGACGAGTTACATTTTATTTGCTCAAACTAGTCAGATTTATCTCATAGAGATTATTCTTCCTTTGAGTAGTAAAAAGCATAGACCTATCATCTTTCTTGACTATGCATGTATCTTTGTCAAGACTATTGTATAAGCATTGTCACAAAATTGAATTATACTAAGTAGGTTATACTTTAGACCTTCAACATATAGAACATTATTCACACTAGGTATAAAGTCTTTACCTATCTTACCTATACTTCTGATTTTGCCTTTTCTGCTGCTAGAAAAGATTGATCCTTCATGTGGTTGGAGGTCTAGGAACAAAGACCTTTTCCTCGTCATTTGTCAGGAACAACAACTATCAATAAGGATGAGAATAGGCTAGACCAGGTTAGGCTTTGAATATATAAATCTGACCTATTATCTATCATAATTTTTTTATTAACCTAGTCTGACCTTTTTAAAATTTGACCTGACCTATTAGCCAATTTAAAAACCTATTTAAATTATTAATGTTAATTAAGCAAATAAACTTAATTTTTAAAAATCAACAAAATTATTTTTAAAATATAGTTTACTCAATATTATTAAAATTTAAATTTTAAAAGAAATACAGGAGAAAAATTAAATCATTTTTTGGTGAAGGGACAATTTATGCATAGTCATGTATGTTGATATACACTCATGTATAAGTCCTAAACTATAAACCTATAATGAAAAAAAAATTGTATAAAAAATATTTTAAATATTGATAATTTATTTTATTA